AAACAAAACCAAAAAACCTGTGTTTGTTAATGTTCCAATTGTGAAGTCATTTCTTTTCTGAACTGTCATTTTTAAAAGGAATTTAGAGATACTATGGTCACAATTTAAAAAAAAATCCCTTTTGGGGTATACCCACCTTGTTTTCTAAATTTGACGCTCAGTTCAAACAACTGGATTTCTGTATCTGATTAACAGAATCTGGTTTGCGGATGTATAATATTTGACTTCGACTATTCTGATTTCACTATTGGTGACCTAATAGGATTGTATTATACACTATTATTCTAGCATAGATTATTCTTTTTGTGCAACCAGTTCTGTAGTTATTTTAATCTGACACTATAAAATATGAAAATTTCTTTGGAATAGCTTTTAATTATATGGTATCCCAAAAAGCTAATTTTTATATAAGCTGTGCAAAAAGTACTTCAATTATTTATTACATCAGGATGAATTGATTCCCCATATCCAAATTATCTCTGAGTACAGATGATGATACCTTAAACTGTCAATGCCAAGATCTGGTAAAAAAGGGGTTTGGATTGAGTTGGACTTGTTGGCTTAGTATGCACTACATCCAGTCTGTCCATTACATAATAGAATAGTTAGGGTTGGAAAGAACCTTAAGATCATCTAGTTCCAACCCCCCTGCCATGGGCAGGGACACCTCACACCAAACCATCTCACCCAAGGCTTCGTCCAACCTGGCCTTGAACATTGCCAGGGATGGAGCATTCACAGCCTCCCTGGGCCACCCATTCCAGTGCCTCACCACCCTCACACGAAAGAATTTCCTCCTTATACCCAATCTAAACTTCTCCTGTTTAAGTTTTAACCCATTACCCCTTGTCCTGTCACTACAGTCCCTAATGAAGAGTCCCTCTCCAGCATCCCTACAGGCCTCCTTCAGATACTGGAAGGCTGCTATGAGGTCTTCACGCAGCCTTCTCTTCTCCAGGCTGAACAGCCCCAACTTCCTCAGCCTATCTTCATACAGGAGGTGCTCCAGTCCCTTGATGACCCTCGTGGCCCTTCTCTGGACTTGTTCCAACAGTTCCATGTCCTTTTTATGCTGAGGACACCAGAACTGCACACAATACTCCAAGTGAGGTCTCATGAGAGCAGAGTAGAGGGGCAGGATCACCTCCTTCGACCTGCTGGTCACACTCCTATTGCTTCAACATTCTTTTCAACCAGAATATGTATAACTTCCTCTAGGACAAGAAAATCATTGAGATTTCTTCAAGCATGATGTTTGCATAGGCTATATCATATTTCTTTGGACTATTGCAATACAAATCAATAATAATGAATCTTGGCCTTTTATGTCATCCAAGCTATCTGATGGAATATGGAAGATAATTACAATGTATTACATACATAACTGGAATAGCTGCTGTAAATAGTCATCCACAGAAGAAAAGCAGAAGCCATAACCAAAAGTAAATCACAATCAGCTCTCATATGACATTGGTCTTTGAAATTCAAGAACTGCATCTTTTCAGTATAACTGCCCATCTTTCACATTAAAATGGTGGCATAAATAAATGTAGGAAAATTTGTCCCAAGAGAAAAAAAGCAAGGATTTGCCTCAGGTTGTTGCTCCACTGAAAGTGAGCTTAACTAGAATTCATATTGTGAAATAATGTGATAGAAATTAAAAGTTTATTCTTTATCTCCCAGTGCATGTAGTAACTTCCAGCCAAACACCAACAAACAAATTGGCAGCTGGCATTTTGTCTTGTGAGGCCTTAGCCATCTGGTCCCACAAAATAAAACATTTATTTGCTTTGTCTTAAGAATCTAAGTTAAGAGATTACCAAGACATGAACGCATTAAGATTTTGCTTTCAGAATGTTGGGACATCTTTGCCTTGGAATTTCATAAGGAGTACGCATGCTCATTCTTATGTATTTGCCTCTGCTAAGACAGAAGTTCAGAGTAAAAGTTGCCTTCAGGAATTCCCGTATGGTTTTAGATAACGGCTGCTATAGCAGAAGCCAAGCAGCACACTCACCTTTGTATAACACTACCTACATTGTGCTTTCTGTTACAGGGTTCCTTTCACTCCCTTCTCTACAAGTACATTGGTTCCATCAGTTAGAATACCCAAAGGAATTTCTTTTTTTCCACACAACTGCATTGCTGATGGTTTCTGCACTACTCCTGATGTCTCATAATAAAAGATTATTTAGAAAGTTTACTGTTGCCAATTTTGGCTTCAGCAACAAAATGGTTTGAAGATAGCACTGCTGTATCTATCCTTCACATGACACTGAAATGGTTGAATACCAACCTAATATTGACAAGATATCTGAAATCTACCAAGAGCATTTAATATTTCTCTGTCCTGAACACACCATTTGCCTCAGAATATTTCACCACTAGATGATAAGTGATAAAGCTAAATCAAATTACCTAAAGTGAGACTTAAACCTGCAGCAAATTCTTCTCTGGTAAGATTTAGCGGTGCTCTGTTTTGGTGCATCTTGCTCAGAGTGTTGGGTATGCACAGGCAGACATCAGTGGTAGCATTTCTTTCTAATGCCAAAGGCATTACCACAAAGCAAAGCAAGGGCTTTTTACAGTGCCTTTTCAGAGATTGTTGAAGTTAAAGGCTTAGCTGCTCGGGTCCATTCACATTATGCCCACAGACCCTGAAAAGTATTCAGAGACACTGCTGTTCTCTGAGGCTCTTATGCTTATTTGTGTGAAGTTATCCAATCCTAGCCAGGAAATTTTCTGCTAATGTGGATTATCAATTAATAAAAGCTTCCCATGGATTTTACTGATGCAGAAGAATAATATAGGAGTTTAAGCGTACTTACTAGTGAGCAACAGAACTGTGTATCTTTCCAAATGTTGAGGTGAGGAATCTAAAGAGTAAATCCAAACTTCAGTAGTTTTACAAATAAGCTCCATGTAATTTACAGCTGTAGACTCCCAAAACCTTAATCTAATAGTTATCCCAAAACATACTGCAAGGCAGGGTTGAGATTGTAGGTTGCATAAGCTGTTTGGTTTTGGTTTTTTACCTTATGCTAAACCTGGAGTTCTTTCAAATGAACTGCAGGTATGGAAGGGGCATGCACCATGTTTGGTCTTTGCTGTTTAGAGGTTATAAGACACTGTGCTTGCTCTCGGCTCCCCATCGTGCTCACTGGGGAGACAGGATGCAGAACAAATCTAACTACTGTCTCTTTCTGTTGCCAGCACAGAAGTGCCACAAAACAGGAATGATGATGGATTGTAATTTACTCTACAAAATGCCTTTTCCAGGTTAAGTGAGCTATTAACATTTTCCACAAAAACCACAATGCATCCCTTTCCAAGGGGGAAACCCATCAAGTCTGCCAATATTCAAGTTCTTCAATTGGAAGACTATCACTTAACACAACAACATTGCAGAATAGAATAGGGCACTGCAGGGAGGGTGTAAGGCAAGAAAGCTAGCTCTTAAATAGGAGCTTTCTAAAGTAATAGATCAGCACACATTGAAGTTAGTCAGCAGTCTAGAACAGTAGGGAAAAACTTGAATGGGAAACAGGTGATGTTTTCTAAAAATCTGTTTAGCAGCAAAATTCAAAGTGCTGCCTCTGCTGTATTCATAGTACTTCAAGTACATGCTTAACTCCCAGTACCATGCATTAACCGTTTTCAGTTTTCATCAGGGTGTAGCAAGGGCCAAAGGATCCCTAAGGCACATGAAGCCAAGGGGAATAACCTAAGAGCTTCATTGGCAGGGGGCCACCCCACAGTACCTTGAGCAGGGCAGGTTCAGAGATAGTAGCCACATCTAACCAGGAGCTAAAATCACTTTGCAAGTTCATGGTGATGAAGCAGGTCTGGGGTCAAGCTAGAAAGTCAGTCTGCAGGTCAGAACCAGCTCCAGCAATTACCAGGCAGACCACAGGTCAAGCTGGGAAGGCAGTCCATAAGAGACCAGGGTCAACTGGACACATTGCCAGGCAAATGCATAGCACCACAGCTGAGCTGCAAGCCACTACTTCTCTAGAATAATTTAGTCAAGAAGGGAAGGTGCAGGGCTGAGCTTAAGTAAAGCTCCATCTGTGGGTATGGGTGGAGACCCCAGCTGAGGCAGGTTGAGCCATTAAGGCCTATTAGTGCACTCTGACTATTAGTGCACCCTGACTAAGGGCTGTGTGCTGCCTAAAATTTTACTACCTGCTGTTTTTTTCACATCTGCAAATACCGCTGACCCTTGTGTTAGGGTGGGAATATTTTAGCTGGCTTTGTTAGGTTTGTGCTGTAGCTTGAGTGCTTCTTAGATTCTGTTGGATGATAATTTAAAGAAGTTAGTTTCTTTCACACAGGAAAGCTTTTCCTCAAAAAAAACCCCTAAAATCTGTATCTAAAATACTTTTTTTCTGTGCACTTAGAAAGAACACCTAGGAATATAATGGTCTATTTCTTTGTTTGAATCATAGAATCATAGAATAGTTAGGGTTGGAAAGGACCTTAAGATCATCCAGTTCCAGCCCCCTTGCCATGAGCAGAGACACCTCACACTAAACCATGTCACCCAAGGCTCTGTCCAACCTGGTCTTGAACACCACCAGGGATGGCGCATTCATGATCAATAAAATGGTACAGATTGAAAGGATGGGATGAGAAATAGACATGACCAGACAGACACAGTTTTAAGCCTTGGACTCAGACAGTAAGGGCGGGTTTTAACTGTCTAAATGTAGGTACTTTCCATTTGAGGTGCCCTAGAGTATCCAAGATATCCACACATATGATCTTTGCCAACAGGCTTTAAACCAGGTACGTCAGCCGATGGTGATGACAGCTTGCAGATAAGTGAGGGAACAGAAATAGGGGCAGTAAATACATGGGACAGGGTGACAGGAGCATGAGAGCCCTCGGGAAGGATAAGACAAGTTAAAAAAAGGGTTGCCATAAATATACAGAGTCTGGGAAGCAAAGAGGAGGAGCATCATGCGTGGGTGCAGAGCTAAGACATCATAAGGACAACTGAGATGTGGCAGGAGCTCTGTGTTGTAAAGAGTCTAAAGGCTCTTTAGGAAGAACAGGAAGGGAATTCAAGGAAGCTGGGTGCTATGTGAAGAAGCAGCCTCAATGTATGGAACTCTTTTGGAACAGAAGATAGGGTGACTGAGGGCTTGTGGGTCATGATCAGAGAAGAGGCTGGTAAGAGCAGTGTTGTGGTGGCAATCTACTACAAATCATGCGGTCAATATTAGGAAATGGATGAAGTCTTCTTTAAGCAACTCAAGGAAGTAATCAGATCACTGACCTTGGTTCTTATGGATTACCACCCTAGCACTCGAAGATTCTGCTGAAAAGTTTCTGAAGATCTTGGTGGGCAGTAGACTGAGCATACTGGAGTTATAAGCAGGAGTGCAGCTCATAGATCAAAGGGTGATAACTCCCCTGTGTTTGCCACTTGTGAGACTGCATCTGTAATACTGCCTTCAGTTTTGAGTTCCCCAGTACAAGGAAGATGCTGGTAAAATTGAGAAAGTCTAGCAGAGAGCTACCAGGATGGTCAGAAGACTTGAACACATGCCGCATCAGGAGAACCTGAAGGAACTGTGCTTCTTTAGAGAGCAAGGTTATTTAGAGGAAGTGTGGGGAACCTAGTAGCAGCTTTCTGATGCCTAAGAGAAGGTTTCTAGGAAGATAGAGACAGTTTCTTTACTAAGGAGCACAGTGGAAGAACGAGAGCCATAAATTGAAACAGGGTAGGTTATAGCTGCAAATAAGGGGGAAAATGTTCCACTGTAAGGATAATTAAACATGAGAACCGGGGTCCGAAGAAAATACAGAATCTATCCTTGAAGGTTTTCATGACTCAGTTAGACAAAGCCTAGAGCAACCTCAACTGATTGTGATGTTGACCCTCCTTTGAGCAGGGTGTTGGACTGGAGGCCTCTTGAGGTTACTTCCAGCTGGAATGATATGAAATTCTACTGCATGTGGGACATACATGGTGTAGAAACCACAAGAGACTCTAGGTCTTCTGGACTGATGGATATGGACTGCAAGAAAAACACAAGGGTATGTCATATGGTTTTAAGGGCTTGTGTTAATGCAAATGAAAGCCTGCTTAACTTTGCAAAGTGGCCAGGTGACACACTGATCCTCTTATCACAAGTGAAGTATATGCAGAGGGGTATATGCCTACCTCTTCTTTTCCCATCTCTTTTTAGCTGTTTAATCATTTAAAATTAATTTCAGGGGCATTTATCATTATGGTCTTTTGACCAGATGGAAACACTTTTCTGGTAACTCCTAACAAGTAAAATTCTCTTTCCAAAATGCCATTCAAACTAGGGACCGTATTTCAAGGTTGGATCATCACATTCTTGATGAATTTCAAGTCCATGCTATAACAGACACCACTGAGGCTAAAAATAGGGACAGGAGTAAAACAGACTTTAAAATGTTCAATCAAATAAGTAATAATCCATTGAAAACCAGTCTGACTGATGAAATTATTGTGGACAGCTCACAACAAAATCTTTATTCTGCTATAATTTAAATGCTGATGGGCTTCTGTCGTATCTCGCTATATTAAGGATGTGTCTGATACGGTTGCCCTGCCACAGGTCTTGTCAAGGTTGTGCTTTCGTGTTCACATACCAATATATACTAGTGAGATGGGTTATTACTTCCAACTGATTTTTGTTATTTCTGAATATATAAGGTAAATAAAACGCAAAGAAGTGATTTTCTAACTTCAGCATCTTAATGCAGCTCACAGCAGATTCAAGTTTTGTTTTCAATACCTGTATATATCATGGTGTAATGTTGCCTATTAATTAGAAGCTGAGCAGAAGAAAAGGACAAATTTGCATAACCATTTCTATTCAAGTTATGGACTTTTAAATCATGCTGCTTGTGTCTATAGACTAATGAGTACACCATTATGGAAGAGGCTTAGTAAGTCACTGCACTTGGGATGTCCAGGTTTTTGCTCAGCATATAATATTTTGAGAGCCATTTTTTTCAAGCATAGCGTAATAGGCTTTAACTTTGCTAAGCTTTTCTGCCAGGCCTCCAGTGCCCTGCTGTTCTATTATATTGAACTTGTAAGCAGGACGCTCTGCCAGGCTCACCCAGATTACTGCTGCAATAAGGGCCCTGCTGAGTGACTAGTGTCATGATAAGTGCTAGGGAGGGAGTTCACCATCTTGGCATACTGTTCTCATCTTATTAAATTCAGCTTTGTGGAAGCAGGGAGTCTGCCTCTCAGCCTCACTGGCTCTGGCTCAGTCCAACTGCTACTGTCAGACAAAATGAAAATAGGAACCACCACAGCTAATGGCAGGTGCTGCACCACCACAGCTGAGGAAAAAAAGAGGGATGATTTTTTTACTTCTCTTTTCTTTTCCTTTTCTTTTTTTCTTTTTTTTTTAATAAGCATGTGACTGTATTGATTTGAAAATATTTAGTTTTTTAATGTTATTATAGCTCTCATATCCACAGACACTTGCTAAGCCACTGTTCTTTTTGAACATATTTATTCTGTCCACCTTATGTAGCCTTCTTTGTTCCTTTTTACTTACATTCAGGAAATATAATGCAGCAAACAAGCCTTGGAACAGGTCTGATACCATCCAGATTTGATAAAGGATGATATTGTAAAGATCCAGTCCTGTCACGCATGTTGAGGCAAAACTCCCTACTGGGTGGTGCCCAATGAGAATCTCCCAAATTCCAGTCTTGTGTTTGTACTGGGGGTGAAGCGAGTTGGCTGTTCAAGTGCCCCTGAACTCAGCGCACCTGCTTAACTAATTCTCATCTTTTTTTTTAAAGTCTAACCTTCAGTTTTGGGTGAAGGATCCAAAACCTTCCAAGAGCCCTAAAATGACCAGCTATTATCTGAGTGGAAGCTATACTGCTGAATGCAGCAGGAAAAGTGCAACATTTACAGAGAGGAGGGAGTGAACACGGTGGGGTGTGTTTGGGAGCCATCCTGACGGAGAGGAATTAAATAAACTCACTCATTTTGTGGTATGAATTTCCACAGTAGGAAAGTATGGCTTACTTCTGAATATCAGTTTCTGAAAGAAAGGGCTTGTGGAAGGATAGATGTATTGCTTCTACACTTGCTGGTGTCTGAGCATGTGTGGAGTCTTCCTTGACATCAGCAAATAAAATTGTTTCTCGCTGTTCAACAATAAATGTTCAAGTAACCCCATTATTGCCACTTCAGTGTTCTGTAAATTGGACACGATCAACACATGCAGTGTAACCTTTCTGAAAGAAATATCGATGTGGTCCAGCTACAGAAGACATTGTATAGCAAAACCAAATTGGGATCAATAGAAAATCCAGATTTTCAAACGCATTTATGTCAGGAGTTGCTAAGCCTGGCAGGTTGCAGATCAGCAGCACACTTGTTGGCCACATCAGTCTTCATAAGAGTGACAGGTTTGACTAGATTCTTAGAGACAGGCTGATTCAGAAATTCAGTCAAAATAAGATCTTTCTGCCAATTTGCAATATCACATTCACAATCCATTCCAGACTCATCAAAGGTAACGAAAAAAGGACTTAATATTTTAATCCCCTCTGAGAAAATGAATAAGGAAATGATGTCTGCAAAAAGTGTCATATTTTTTCTTGAAAAACAAGAGTGGAGAACTATTAGTGAAGCTGACTACCATGAATATTGTGTGTCAGACCTTTCAAATCCCAGGCAATTGGCATGCAAGGGAATTACTGTCAAAATTCAAGGGCAAGTGAAAGGATAAAACAAATCTATTTGGTAAAGTTTCTGGTTTAGACAAGTCCAATTTGTTTATACTTGTTCTTCACTTCTGTATCACATTCATAAAGTTGTCATTTGTAAAGGTTTTTAAATGTTCCTTCAAAGACACACTTTTTTCTTTCTTTCTTTCTTTTTCCTTGTCTTCCTTAAGTCTTTCTTGTTATCCTGATTCATTGTGATGCTATTGGGGGTCAGAGGAATGGGAATTTTGCTCTGGTCACTGCGCAGTCCACACCAAGCAAATTGCCAAGGAAACCATGGTTAATTTATAAGAGGTTTTAATGATAACTTTTCTCTGCTTTTCCACCTCTTTCAGTATAGACTTGAAAAGTTTACTTGAAATTCAGAATGCTGCAGCTAAGGAATGAATTACAGTGGAATGGTTGCTGGAAGTTGTCCAGGAGAAGTATAACCAAAATGTAAGGAGAGAAAGCTAACACTCTCAAGAGAAGGGTTTTGATTGTATGAAATTGCTTTTGTTTTGTTTTACTTTGAGAAAACACAAAGATCTCAGGCTTAGATTTTTGCCACTGAATCCAGCCTTGGAATCAATAAAAGTGTGGCGGGCTAAATTTAGATTAGATTGTGGAATGATTCAGAAAATGCTTTATGAACAATGCATAGAATCTACTCCAGTTTACAGATGACACTTATCTCCAACTGTTGTGCCTGCAAACATGTAATGAAGAAGGTGTCTGTTAATGCTAATCAGACATATTTGGTTTTCATACTGTAATTTAAGTGATTCCATAGGGAATTTCTCCTTGGTCAAATTCTGAGAGATTAAATGGCCTTGGGATGTGACCTTTCTTTGTGAGGGGGAACATCAACTCTGGATGTTTCAGATTTTCCTTCATTTCAACATGGAAAAAGAATGCCCCTGAGATATTCCAACTGAGCAGCAAAATTATAGCAGGATAGCAAAGCTGGAACCACTCTGTACCATGGCAAATCTGGATCTTGAAACTTAGCTCCATCTTCAGTGATTTTGCAGCTGAAGAGTCTAGTGCTTTTAAATTGGAACAATCGGGTGATCAAGACATTCTGAATGAAGGTGGTCCTACAGAAACATATTCACACTTGTCTTCTATTCATCACATAAGAATAACAGAATGTATTACCAAAGACAAGCGTACCCTACTATCACACTTCAGGCATCCTTTGTCCTGGTTAGCTGACAACTCTTTTTGCAAAAGGCTTTTGTCAAGTATGACAGGAAGATACATAAGCTATATAAGCCCAGGTATGCCTGTGGTATGTTGGGAGAAGGAGTCAACATTAAAAAACTGAAACAATGGATCAAACATAGTTATTTTAATAAAGTCAAGATATTTGTGTTTGGTTTTATATGTATGTTTTTCTAACTATATGAAACCAGCATGTTTGGAATATGACAGCCTGGAGATAAATATGCCCTTGCATTGTTCATAGCAGAAACACTGAATCATTATGGTAGTCTATGAGAGTGAAAGAGAAAACCAAACAGATCTACTTTCACTGAACATGTTGAATGAAATGTGAAAAATAAACAAACAGCACAGATGGTGAAACAGTTTAATTTTTAATACTCCTCCAGTGATAATCATTTCCAATATTTATAACAGCGTGATAGCAACATATATTAAAACATGTTATTTTAGTCTTAAAAAAAACAAACAAAAAAAAGCAGCTGAGCAATTCACAATTTTCAGCAAAGTCATATTTAAAAAAAGTGGTTTTGGAATACGATCAGTTTAAATATTCCTGCATGAATATTAAACAATCTATTCAAATGCTAAATCTTTGGCAGGGTCTTATTTCTGGCTACTGTGGATAACATGTCTGGAAACTTACAGTTCTGTATGCTCATTTCTCCTTCTTTCTGAATTTGCTAAGTCCAGCAATGCAAGTGTAGACCAGCAAAACTAGAATTCTCAGTAACTCTCTTCACTGTTTTTCAGTATTCTCAGGAACAGAACACAAATTTTGGAGAGAATCCCATATGGCAGGTGCTGACATTAAGTAGAGACAAGAACAGACTTCTTGTTAACATATTATCTACTCCTCACCTACCCCTGGTCTGTTACAAAACTCATTGACAATGAAAGCTAAATGAACTAACTGAAAACTAATTCAGTACTGTTACAAATATTTCAAACAGCTGCATAAACCTTTCTACAGGCTTAAATGCAAACCAAGCAAAGAACCTCTGAAGTCTTCTCTATGCCTAGCCACATTGAATATCATCCAAGCAACTATATTTTCTTTCCAGAGCAAATTTAAAGCATTCTTTTCAAAAGGTGGTGTCCTGTAGAGATGAACTGGGTAAACAGAAAGACAGATGGAGGAAATTAAATGAATCAGGTACTGCTGCTTGCAGAAGGAAGTGAATGAGGAGGATAAGTAGTTGATATGACCTGAGAAGATCCGTATTGCTGTATGACAGACCCATTAATAAATTATATGATAGAGTATTCTATACATTAACAGTTGATCTAAATAGTCTCATCCCAAGACACAAAAGACTCCATCTCCTTAACCATGATCTCTGATTTCTTTCTTGCATCTCCTTGAGGGGTACTGTGACTCCTAACTTGTTAAAGAGAGTGAAGATTGGAAGGAATATGTTATTTATCCAGTGTAGTAGTGTATGTAATGATATTTTAATGCTTCTTCAAGTTACTTTGATACCAAAATGACAGATACTGAGAAGCTATCATTTAGGTCCCTAATTAAGAGAAAAATATAGCTCTCACAGACATTGTTCTTGTGTTCAGTAATTTCCTTCAGATTTGGAGAAACAAGCACACTTCCAGGTGTTGTGAAATACTGTCCTAATGCCCTATGATTCTAAAGATGACTGTGACTACTTGGTGGTATTGACAAGTTTATCAGGAATGTCATGGAGCCAGTTCTGTGAAGGTGAAGTTCTCTTGTCAGAAAAAAATGGAATGGTTGATTGTGTCCCCATTAAGTGAATATAATTTATTGAGAGAATAGACAATCTAAACTCGTCAAAGAATTTGAGGAGGGAATGAGTAGAAATTTCTCACGAAATGTAAATATTTTAATTTTTTACCCCCAGAAAAATAAACGTAGAAATTCTTTTTGCAGTGCGATTTTTGATTTATCATTTCCTCATTCACATTCCTTTTTTCCTCCTTTCTTTCCCACTGGAAACGAAGAGAAGGAAGGAAAAAAGCGAAACTGGAATCCAGAAGCCCAAAGAAATGAGAAAAGAGAAAAGCACTGTCAGTTTCCTACAACTCCATAAACCTCCTTTTCAATTGTTTTTCCCTTTTTCCAATCAAATCCCAGTGTGCCTCTTGTTCTCCTAGTCTGAAAAGCTGAAGAGCTCTTTTGCACAAGATCAGAGACAGATACGTGGGCAATGACTGTGAAGAATATTTAAAGGTCCCCACAAAGCATCATTCTGATAAAGTTACTGACGATGCTGTTAGTTCATAGAGCTTTCTTTTTCATCTTCTCCTTTAACTTGAGGATGGAACTTCCACATTACCTAGCTGGATAGTCATGTTGAGTTCATCCTAATTCTGTAGCATTCTGCTATTACAGAAGTGCTATGCCTCCTTGATATGCCTTAGCTTTCTTCTGAGGAAGCTAACATCCAACTTTTCCATACTCCTTTTGGAAACTGTAACACTGTGTTAGACGCTGTCAGCCTTTTAAGTTTTGTTGGGTAGATATGAAACTGTAGTCTTAGCTTGATTCTAGGCAACTGGTACAGGGAGGAGGATGCTTAGTGTATGCTTAGTGTATACCCCTTTAATGGGTAGGTACATGTTGCACTCCAAGGTTTTCCAAACTGGTTAGTGGCTGAAGGGGTTTTGGCTGACTGGCGCCCCAGCTGAGAGACCTTATAATGAGCCTCTCATATTTTTGGAAAATAGCCTTTGAAACCAGGCCTTCAACAAGAAGCACTAGTTACTCTCAGATGCTTGACAATATGCTGCCTTGTTTTCCTCCTTGATTTTTTCAGCCCTTACTGTGGACCATCTCCAGTGACTATCACAAAGCCTGTCTATATTAAAAAATGATCTATCTGGTACCTGTGATAGAGTCACATCCTTTACATACCAGCCACAAGAGGGAGATGTGGAATACTCACTGAATAATAGGTTTTAGTCCACTGTTTTGCCAGTGCTATTGATAGCTTCTGTGATTTTTGCCATCCGGCCACTTTTAGCACCAGCCTTTTTTCCTGGAGATCATGGCTTGCAACAGTCTGGTTTTAGATAGAGGCAACCTTTAGATGCCTCAGACGGAAATATTCTGTCACCTAAATTTGCCCCCCTTTTACTCTTTAATAGAGCAGTTACAGTTGTTTAACACTTTCAGAGAACAATGTGGCTATCTCAGCACACGAAAAAGAATTGATGGTACTACATGATTTTTTTCCCAATAAATGAATTGTAATTGGTACTTAGATTCTAATCATAGGAAACCTGTTTTATAGCAACAGTGCTGTTGTGGGCTATTTTAGGGGCAGAGTGGTGCATACTGGAGAAAATTTGTACATGAGAGCAAGAGGAACAGACAATTGCTTTTGGGGACTGTGTAGATTAGTACATCATTGCATACTAACAAAGTGCTAATTGCTCCTTTTGACCACAGGCCCAGTTTATTGCGCTTTAGCACAAATGTGCCCTGTGCACTAAATTGCAAAGCTAACACTGCATTATTTCTCGGTACAGCTTGCAAATTCTTGTAGGGCAGTATGCATTAGCCTTAATTGGATGCAAAGAAAAAGGATGGCATAGAGGTACTCACTTGCAATTTAGAAAGAACAGCCCTGGTGCTAATTACCCAGGTAGCAAATGTTACATTCATTTTGTGATGACAGTGGTAAAATCAAACTGTATACATATATTTATATAATTTTAGTATAATATTTTAATATTGCATATAATAACTGTATATAATAATAATGTATAATAATTTATCTCTGCTTGGTTCGTTAGGTAAAAAAAACAGCTGTGAACTACCCTGAACAGGTTGTTGGTACTGATTATAGAGACATTTCTGCTGATTTTAGAGAAATAGTAGCTGTTTAGGAGGTTTGTCAGTTAGTAAATGACCATTTCGTAATAACCATATAGAGTAATGTCTCTTATTTATCTTGGTTAGAATTGTACTCAGAAAGGTAGTTTTAGAGTGGAAAGGAAGTTTAGGATGTTTTATTGTGGGTAGCACCTCATCTTTCTGCTCCTTTTCTAAAAGTCCAGAATTATTTGCTCACAGACCCTTTCCACCCCTCAAAGAAGATAGAAAGAAGCATCACAACTGGATACGTAAAAAGTCAGTAAGAGATTTCACTTGTTTGGAAAGACATAAATCTACAGGTGTTATTCCCATTCTGCTACACATCATGTAAACCTTTCTTGAACCAGCCTCTTGATTTTGTTGTTCTGCTAATAGGCAAATTTGAAGATCAGACTTCTTTTATATGTTTCCTTGGTCCCTTCTTTCTTTTTCTACAGGGATTCTTCTGGGTTTGACATTTTCTTTAGATAGGCAGCCTGGCACTGAATTAATTTAATTTCTACTATAATTTAGAACTAGCTCTTCAAATTCTTCATTTGGGATTTGAAGACAGTGGTACTAGAAGCCCAACCTGAGACTTCAGGCATGCATTGTAGTATTTGACAGTAGGTCATGTTTTACAGTATTTTAATCAGGAAAATGTATATGTAAAGGGAGAAGAAAAGAGGCTATAGGGAATAATCCAGTGTTGTGAAAAGAACAGACTAAAATATTTTGTAGGCTTTCCTTTCGCACTTTATTAAAACAATATGAATACAGAATAACACAAATTCCACTCTCTAGTCTATCTTTTGAAATAAATGAGTTGAGAAAAGAAAGTATAAAAAGCAGCTGAAAAGGACAAGTATGTGTCACCATAAGGGCACTCTGTGTCACAAAGCAAGTATGCCTTAGTGCCAGCCAAAACAACCACCCACTCAAGGTACCGAAGGGTAGGCATGCTGTTATGACCCAGATTCAAATGGTGAGAGTAGGAGTGAGAAAGTGAAAGTGTTAATAATACTTCAAGCACAGAGCTAACGGGAGGGGAATTTCTGGGATTCCCCTTTCATTCCTATTCTCTCTCAAAAGAAAACTACAGAGTTCTCTCTGAAAGAAAAAATCTCTTTGGCTTATCACCAAATGTTGAATTTTTAGACTGAATGATGTACAGCAGAACTGTATACCTGTCCTGACTGGAATACCTGTGTAGTAGTGAAGAGGGATAGATAAATTCAGAGGTTTAGAAATTCTCAGATGACTAAACTTTGACTAGTGCGGAACCAATTTTTGAGAATGGGAAAAAGATGGGTAATTTTAAATACTGACATACTTCTTTGTTTTGCTGCAGCTGACATAAATTTGAAGGACAATAAATCTGTTAGAGCTATCAACACCAAGTCCAGCAGCCTGCCCAACCACATAGATTGCAAAATGGCTTTTTGGAGAGGATAGAGCATATGCTTACTATACTGCTGCAAAACCTCCTTTTTCATACTCCTTCATGTGCCTAACTCAGTTCATTCTTACTAGAACAATCATTTTTATGTTGCTGAAGTTTTTAATGTTCCATATTTTACAGAAGGATTAGGAAGCCTTCCAACTCTTTGTATCATATTAACACTGAATGGTGTTAAAACAAGAATTAACATTAGGAAATTCAGCCATTTTACAGTGGCTGCTTTTTTAGTGATAAAGTTTAATAATTAAGAAATTACAGCTTGATCTACTCTAGCAGCTCCTCTGTTTAACAATGCTCACAGACACAAATTACTTGACCCATTGCAAGTAGGTAACTCATGTGGGTAGATTCTGTATTACAGACATAAGGATTGCATTATCTCAAGCTGTCTGAAAATTTCTATGGCTCAGGAAGTCCTGTATTCAATGCATTTTCACATACTAAGTGTAGGGCAGTAAAGATAATTGCATGGTAGTTCTCCCTTTAACTTGTTAAACTTGAAGTGGGTTGCTGGCCTAGCATTATGCCTTTCTGTTCATGTTTTCTTTCTTTGCTGTAGGCAACTTTTCAGTAAAAAAAAAAGTGAGAATCACAGAATCATTGAATAATTTAGGTTGGAAAAGACCTTTAAGATCACTGAGTCCAACCATTGACCTAACGCTGACAAGTCCACCCCTAAACCACATCCGTAAATGCCACAAGTCTTTCAAATACCTTCAGGAATGGTGACTCAACCACTTTCCTAAGCAGCCTGTTACAACATTTGACAACCCTTCTGATGAAGAAGTATTTCCTAATATCCAATTTAAATCTCCCCTGGCACAACTTGAGGCCATTACCTCTTGTTCTGTCACTCATTACGTAGGAAAAGAGACCATCACCCACCTCACTGTGGCTTCCTTTCAGGTAGTTGCAAAAAGCAACAAGGTCTCCCTTGAGCCTCCTTCTCTCCAGGCTAAACAATACGACTTCCCTCAGCTGTTTTTCATAAGACTTGCTCTCTAGACCCTTCAACAGGTTTGTTGCACTTCTTTGGGCATGCTCCAGCACCCCTATGTCTTTCTTGTAGTGAAGGCCCAGAACTAAACACAGTATTTGAGGTGTGGCCTCAAATACTTCATCCCCACAAATACAGCAGGATTATTCCTTCCATAGTCCTTCCCACACTATTCCTGACACAGGCTATGATGCTATTGGCCCTCTTGGCCACCTGAGCACAAGCTAATTCATGTTCAGCCGGATGTCTACCAACATCTCCAGGTCCTTTTCCACCGAGCAGCTTTCCAGCCACTCTTCCCCAAGCCTGTAGTGTTGCATGGGGTTGTTGTGACCTAAGTGCAGGACCCTTGTTGAACCTCATCCTATTGGCCTTGGCCCATCGATCCAGCCTGTCCAGGTCACTCTTAGAGACTTCCTATCCTCCAGCAGATACACACTCTCACCCAACTTGGTGTCATCTGCAAGCTTACTGAGGGTGCCCATGATCCCCTCATCCAAATCACCGATAAAGGTATTAAACAGAACTGGCCCCATACATGACTTGTGTCTGGCTGCCAACTGGATTTAACACCATTTGGGCCCAGCCATCAAATCATTTTTTTTTTACCCAGTGAAGGTTATGCCCATCCAAGCCATGAGCAGCCATTTTCTCCAGAAGAATGATGTGGGAAGCAACGTCAAAGGCTTTACTACACTCCAGGTAAACAACATCTGCAGACTTTCTCTCATCCAATAAGTCAGTCACTTTCTCAAAGAAGGAGATCAGACTAGTCAAGCAGGACCTGCCTTTCTTAAAACCATGCTGACTAGATCTGGTTGTCCTGTATGTGCCATGTGATGACACTCAAGATTATCTGCTCCATAAGCTTCCCCAGCACAGGCTGACAGGCTTGTAGTTCCCTGGATACACCTTTTAGCCCTTCTTGTAGATGGGCATCACATTTGCCAACTTCCAGTCCACTGGGACCTCACAGATTAGCCAGGAGTACTGATAAATGTTGGAAAGTGGCTCAGAATCATTGGACTGTTTATGTTGGAAAAGACCTTTAAGATCACTGAGTCCAACCATTAACCTAACACTGACAAGTCCACCACTAAATCACGTCCCTAAGTGCTACATCTACATGTCCTTTAAATACAACTAGTTTCCTAAATAGGCTGAAGTGTGCTCTCTGGAAGTCCAAAGTAGCAGTTCTGATAAACCCCCTCCTTACTCCTCTGAGAATTGAAAACTCTTACCATTTCTTGATGGCTATGCCCAAGACAGCCTCCACCCATCACGTCACCCACAAGCTGGTCCCTGGTCACCAAACAAGAAATGTCAGTATGTGGTTGCTTGCTTACAATATTTAGAATTACTTCAAAAAATATGACTTTTTTTCAAAAGAGAAATTATTTATTTACATTATCAGTTGTGCTTTCAAAGAGACTCCCTTAAGGCAGAGCATAATGAATTGGAAGTGGGGCTCAGCGGTGACCCATTAGCCTGCCTTCCTCTGAAACTTTCTGGCATTTGCAGGAGAGGGTGATGGAAGGTAGAGGAAGAAGAGATTATATCCTTTTGTGATGGCTCTTGTGAGGGCTTTTTCTCCTAGTGACTGAGTGCAGATATTGAAAGTCTTTTCTATCTCCCAAATGTCTGATGTCAACGTCAGATGTCATCTTTAGCAGCAGCAGCAGCAGCCGCTGTGACAGTAAAAAGCAAACAGTGGAAGACGTAGCCAAAATGTTGAAGTCCCTGCTTCCCTCCTCAGGGCTAACAAAGCACGCAGAGACCTACATTCTGAACTTGGGACACAGCTGTTAAAAGCACTTTAGTTTTCCAACCTGTGTGTCTGGAAAACTTTGTGATTGCAAGTGATTCAGACAAGTCTGGCTTTTGAAGCAAAGCAAAAGCTGGATTCTGAAAGTTTTAAAGTGTAACAACTGAGTCAGAATGGCAGAATTTCACACCTCTTATTTCAGATTTTCAAAAGAGGCAAAATAATGTGCCTGGTATTTTAACTCAGCTTTGTTTTTAATAAAATAGAATATATGACAATATAAAACTATATGGATGGAATTAAATGAGCTATACAATATACCCCAGAAACTATAACAAATAGCATCTTCATAGAAATCTTCATTCTAAAGGGCAGTTTGAAAGTATTCACTTCACATAAAAGCTGTTTATTAGTCTCATCACATTTCCTGGTACAATGAAACTGTTAGTAAAATATGATGGTATTGGAAAACACTGTATGACTGTAAAATGACTGAAAATGACTGCATCTGAGGACTGGAGTGAATTGCCTTACAGTAGGTTGTCATGCTGTTTCTTTTTCTTCTTTTTTTTTCAACTGCCATCTGTGCTCCAGAATTCAGGTTTTCATTAAAGCAAAAATCAGCTGTAAGGATTTCATTCTCATTCACATTAAAACCCCTTGGAATAACTGAGAAGCTGATTGCATAGTTACAAAGAAAAAATCTGAAATTCCGTCCCCTTCTCTTCCAGCTCGTATGTAATCCTCATCAGTTTAAAATTTGTGCAGTTCTAGAGCTGTGTAGAGTCACATGGAGACACAAACAGTAACCAAATACCAAGTGTTGTAATGAAGATCCTTTACCTTTCTGCAAGCTTGCAATTGCATCTTTGAGAGGTCAGAAGTATCCCATTAATCTCAGTGCAGCATCAGATTGGAGAGCTAACGCCAGTAACTTGACTATCAACTTCATTAACCATTTCATTTTTGATCAAAGTGTATGACATAAGGTTTATGAAGATTGGCATAGGTTGTTCTATGCAGTACACTTGAGCAACTGGAGAGATAAATTATCAGCAATCTGAGTTGCTAATTAAGACAAAATCTGAGAATTCCTGTGATAGCTTTTAAAAGATGTTTATTTTATATCCATTGATTTGGGTTTGTAGGTGGATTTTTAGGAGCAGCACTGCATTTTTCCCATCTTGTGTTTGCATCGTTTTCAATTGCAGAAGAACTCAGGTGTAAAACAAAATTCACTGATAATTAATGTTACTGTTTCCATTGATAACACCATTCAATATGTAGGGGGAAATCAGTACTGGGTCAGATGCTGGGTTTGTACTTCACATGAAAGAGACCGCCTGGTGGTGCTGGTATCAGGGTATCTCCAACTTGATCATAGCATTCAGGAAGTGATGCCATCATGAATTGTTACAAGAATAACTATAGATTGAAAACCAAAACAATCAGTGAAGGATATTGTCTTCCCCCCTCTCCATGTTGGCATTTTTTGGGGGTGGCTCTTTTTCATGTGTTTTCATCAATATCATTTGTGTTTTTTTTGTTAATGTTTGTCATCGGTTTTCCATACAAAAACATGGTTTTCTTACTGTTTCGGGAAGCCTTTAAAAATGTTATTGACAAAAACAGGCTCGGTATAACTCCATGAAACTGAAACTCTTTTTAATCTTCTGAAAATTCACATTCTGAAACTCTTTTCTCTTTCCGGATCACACCATCGATTGGATCTCTCAAACAGTTCCCTTCAGAAGGAGGGCAGGAGGGAATGTCTCCATCCAGAGTACTAACCAGGCATGACCTTATTCAAGTTGTGAAAAGTGAGATTCATGAAACCTGAATTGATGTTTGCACAGCCCTTGAAAAATATACTGTGTAGTATAATTGCTGAGCACAACATAATTGTTAATTATTTTGATGTGGCTTTGGGCAGCATAAAACCAGCAGTGTGCAGTTCACACTCTGCATCTGCAGGAGACACCAAAAATCACACGATTAAACAAAAATACTCTATTGTATAGGCTAGTAAAAAGGCAAAACACAGTGTGGGGAAGAAATCTTGGCATTCTTAAACACAACTCTGCTGAAACACCCATTTCAGGGGAGATATGTGATACATTAAAGTAAAATGTTTATCAGTAAACTTCATATTACCTGGCAAATGGGAAAAAACAGTTCTGCAAGCATTAGTTAAAGTGAAAGGATGCAAGGCAGGTTCATGGTTAGAAAATTGTTCAGAAGATTGTTTTTATTTTACTAATGCAACACAAAATGAGGCAACACTGGTAAAAGGAAAAAGAGCTTTGTGAGCAGAAGAGCCAGTGGCTTGACCGAGTGGTGGTGCAGTTTGTGCATTTCCCAGGCAAATTCCTCAGAAACCAGTATAATTGGTGAGTAATGTTTCACTGAATTGGTCTCTTTAGAGTGTCGGTGGAAGGGGGTGAGAAATTGCAGTGTGTGAGTGCCAGCTGCATGCTGCATCTGCAGTTCTTCATGAGGTTGGGTCTAACTTCTTGCTGAATGAAGTCTGGAGAGATGACAGAAGCTTAAAGCTCCTGATCATCCTTGCTGATCTGCAACAGTGATGTACTAGGGTGAAATGCTGATTCTCTGAAGTTGGTGCCAAAGCTCCAGCTGACTTCATCAGGAGCTAAATTTCACCGGGTTTGCCCTTCTAAAAGTATGCACTGGGACCGCATTTAGGCATCTTTGTGAGAATCATGGTTTGTTGTGGCTTTGGCTGGGGAACATTCAACCAATGCAGAACTGTGATTTTTACCTGGAATCCACACACATCTTGTGTCAGCTCCACGCGTAGTCTTTCAGTTTCCCCGCTGTGTGTCTGTGACAGAGCTCATGTGCTGTGAGAAAGTCACAGCTTGCTCTCCTGTAGGTCTCCTGTGTGGTTTGGTAATGGAAGGGGTTTGCAGACCATACTCACAACTGTGCCATGGGAAGGAGTTGCAGTCTCTGTGCATTGTGGACAGACACAGTTTTGTTACTGCAGTTGCTCCGGTCTCCAAAGGTTTTTTTTTAGGTTTCAGCTCATGAGTATGTGCAGGACAGAAAGAAGTGATATGAAATGATGCTCAGAAAAGATTTTTTGCACGCAAGAGCAAAATCAAATAGTAAAGAAAAACTATTTTCATATAGCTGGTATAACCGAAAAAGAGTACGATTTCACAGTACAAAATCACAGTGGAATTGCCAGGCCTTGTATTAATGTGGTTTATATCACACCACAGAGAAGTGCGTACCAGTAGAAAGTGAACAACTGAGTATTTTGAAAGGAATGGTAGATGTTACTTACTTACGGGATTCACGTTGGAGACATTTTTTCTGAAACTGGAGGTACTTTCATATGCAAAACTTCGCCCACAACAAATGACTTGGACTTAAGAAAGCAACCCCAGTGGGAAGACTGCTTGGTAAATGTTGAGGTGGCAGAGACATACTGATTTTAGAGACAAAGCAGTTTGAATACATCTCATGTGACTAATGGGATACACTATCACTCAGTCTCTCTACTAAGTATAGCACGTGTGCAATGTAAACCCATGTTATTTTGCAAAACTTTTATGCATCTGAGAGATACTTAGCAGCACATTTACAAAGCTGGTGGAAATCTCTTCAGCTAAATTACATTTGTTATCTTGTAGCTTGTCCCACTTTAAAGACTAACACAAATCCAACACAGTGGTACAGCATACGTGTATTCAGATGTTAATACGTAAGTTTACATTAGATCTGCTCATCCTTATACCGTTTAAGGAAGCTTTGTGAGGATCTTTTTCTTAGCCTCGGTACTTACAACTGTTCTATGTCATGTAATACCCTTTCAGGTTTCTGCATTTACTGGAGGAACCAAGGAGGAAAGTAGCTAGAACACTGAATTTCTGACAGATTTAACTAGGTGTGATATTCAGGGGAGTTTTAGATCATCTTCTCTCGTTTTTAATGAATGGTGGGGCTTAGAATGTTCAACCGTTACTCTAGGGATATTTATGTTTAAAACCCCCAACCTTAAATGTAACTGTATTTCATATGCAAAATGCTTAAATGTATGTGAACTCACAAATTATTCAGATCAAATAACTATACAGCTTTAAATAGTGCTGAGGTTATATATAGGATAAATGTGACCTGTATGCAACCTAATACTCAAGATAAGAAGATATAGAACAAAAATTACTGATTGACCAATCCCAATTTAAAGAAATGGGAATTTAAGTGAAGATTTAACAAGAAAACAAACAAAAATAAACTGTGCTTTAACTATGCTGATATGGAAACACTCTGGAAATTATATGAGAGAAAGAAAACTAAGTGCTACAAGAACAGACATTCTTTGATATTCTTTTGAGAAATATAAAAAGCAGAGGGTAATCAAACTCTTTCACAGATTTGGAATATGCATGTCAACTCTGGAAGATGTTCTGCGTTTCCAGAGACAAAGGTTTCTAATGTAGTGATTAGAAAAATCTTAAAGTTAATTCTAGGCTTAAGTGGCTGATATTATTAATATCAAATTTTCTCAGATATTTTAGAAATGTGATTAAAATAACCAAATCTCCATGCGGAGAAATCCATCAGCCATATCAATATAGCAATCACAAAACGACACTTTTAAATTAAAATAGAAAAAAAAAGGCCTATTTGTATAAAACCCAAAATGTGTTGAAATAATTAAAAATAGCAAATAGTTTAAAAGTCTTATTTAAACCATAAACTGTAGGTACTATTCTATAAAACCAAGTACCTAGGTGCTTTTAAAAGAAGTAGACTACAGTGCATATGTCAGTTCAGTTATTGCTTAAAACCTGAAGTTTAAGTTAATGTGTTAGTTAAGTTGATTGTTACTGTTAAGTTAAAATTAAAGAAACCGAGGTCCTGCTTCTCTGGTGGTTCCTTTTGGTTCTTTCCTATTGGATTCCTTTGGGATGTGATTGATACTATACCAGTCACATGGAACCAATACTAGAAATGGCACAGTTCTAAGACAGTTGAATTATAAGCCAAGAAAAAAAAAAAGATAATTGGGCAAACACAGCAATTATAACTTTACCAGTTTGTTAGTCATCATGTCTCTGTCACAAATGAAAGGAGCGTAAAAAATGTTTCTAGATCCTGACTATATTGAAATATTGCCCCCATATGATAATGTTGAAATGGTTCTCTCTGCTATGTGTGGTGGCATTTTCATTCGATTTTGTTCATATTTCATATTAGATTCATCATTTTGTGTTCCAGCTTTGATCACAGGGAACTTGCATCTAAGCATGCCTGTCTAGCACTTAGTTGTCCAGGCCATGTTACTCTACCTGATGTACAAAACTGTCACAGAAAATAGTGGCAGAATGTAAGCGATGTTTAATTATTTTACAGATGCTACTTCTATCCTTACTAAGAGATCTGTTACTTGTCATAAGTGGAAATTAGGTTGACCTGACCTGATTTAATCTTAATAAATATATTCTTGCTGTTGCTTTCCTCTTTATTAGATCCTGGGCTTAAAAATATCTTTAGTGATTATTTGTTAGTCTGAGTTAGGCTGGCCCGCTGCAGGGTATGGTTGTGTGGTTGTTTTACCAAAATAAGCTTGGACTGAGCTGTTTTCCTCCTTGCACATAATTTGCTTGTTCCTTTTTCTTGTGTGGCACTGGTGTCCATAAAGCCACACAACAAGTAAAATTAAGGATTTGATCCAGAAGAATTAACGCATCTGGGAGAGGGAAATAGGGAGAGATTTTGGTTCCTTGATCTGGCTCATTGCACAGCTGCAAAAGTGCCTGTGCTAACAGCAGGGAAATGACCAAATGTGTGGGACAAAGTATGACTGTCCTGCCCACTGGCTACCTACATATATGTGGGGTTAAAATTATTATCAGCTTCTCTTTCTCCCTGCTCAAACCAATATGGTGGTTACCTGTTTCCAGTCTTTTAGAACCTCTTATATACTTGAGGATGTAAAAAATACTTGCTAATGCCTTCAAATTACTTTATCCAGTTCCCTATGAGCTCTAGGCCATAGTAAATTTCATCAGGTTTGAAACCTAAATTTCATCAATTTATAAACCACTAACTTACCAAAGTAACCTCTAACTTGTTCTTTCCCTTTCCTAGCTTGAGTAAGAACTTTACCTCACTGTGTTAGTTCTCAGATGATCACTGGTAACCTTCTGAGGCTGCAGTTTCATGTTTGTTGATGAAACGGTATTCTAGTCCCAGTTGCCCTGGTGTTTGTCATGGGACATCACCTTCCAAGTTGTGCTGGTACAAGTGGCTGGGAGTCAGTTTTGTGGATTAAATCAGGGAATTGATCCAATTTGGAAAAGTCATGTTTTATTAATTGTCTTTTTAAATCCAAATCCTTGAGGGGACAGCACACCAGTAAAAACAAGACAGAGACAGGGAATATCTTAAACTACCGACCACTTTCTATTGTGAAAACAAGCCCCTGCAAAGACTTAAGCAAAACAACTTCAGATTTACATGATTGCAGCTGAGATTAAAATCTGGCCTTGATGCATCAACCATCTGTTTCCATTCCAAGAAAAGAGACTCAGCAGGACTATTTGTAATTCTGAGGACAGGATTCTGGTTTCAGTCCTGTAGAAATATATCACAAATAACTCTACTGATGGATTTGGAGTTATTTTCTTGTTTCTCCCAGTGTATAATGCTCAGGAACCTACCCTCCAGAAACTTACAGAATGAAAGGCATGCTTTGGGACAGACCTGGATTTCAGCCTCTTCAGGTTTACACCATTGTAACACCAGTGGTTCATACCAGTCTAGCTCAGAATATAGCCTTTTTTAAATAAGTATGGAATGCATATAATTTTGTCTCAACAGCTTCAGAGGAGTGTACCTCACCACTGATGTCTTGGTAGTCCTAATTAAATGTGTCATTTTTTCACTTCTTAAATTTTGACCATATTTGAAGTAACCTGAACTGGGACTGTATTAAATCTGTGAAGGAAACCCATGGATACCTCTATTTTTATTTTCTGCAAATCCAATTAAAAACATATAAAAAAAGAAATTAAAATGAATTTAGATTAATTTAAATTAAAACTTTCATCACCTGTGGATCTCATCTTGCTGACCATTTTTTGCTAGCAGTTACAGAAGAAGTTTTATTCTTAATAATATGGATAAGCATTTTGACTGGGTTGCTGAGTTTTCTGCTGTTCTTTTTTATCTGTTCCTATTACTTGTGTTTGGTACAGAGAGACATACATCGATTGATGTTACCACAGGTATAATGAAGTATGCACTTCGGTTTCTGGGTAAGAATTAAGAAAACTGAGAACCAGTGTTTATAACACATACTGGAAGGAAATGTTATGTACCTGTTGACTTTATAGCTAAAACAATATAGCAGAACATCAGAGATGATATGCCCTATTTTTTGTGTACATCTGTGGGCTTATGTTTGCACAAAAAGTGCCACACCATTTGGAATGTCCTAAAGAAAATGTTGTCTTCTTGCCTGATTTGCATAACTCTTCAAACTTGCACATAGCATAGGATATATTTGCTCAGTATATATTTTTTTTAGTAGTGTCTTTTTTGCCACACCATTCCCCCTTCCTGCCATGGTGCAGATTTACGTACAAAGCCAATTTAATGAATATGTCACAGAAAGAACATCGTTTTTTTGGCAGTCTCTGCTCTGAAACCCAAATATTGTGGATATTTGCAGATGTTCCTCTCTTTACATCTCCTCCTGCAGCATCAACAAGTCTTGCACCTTCTCCTTCTGCATGACCACACAGGAACCACACAGGAACCACCTGTTTTCCTTGCAGGCTTAGCTTCAGTCTCTCTGCTTCTGTGACTTCAGCAAGCTTATCCTTCTTCAGCTTGCAAATTAACAGGCCTGATTCTCCACTCAACCTGTAGCGGATTTCCTAAAAGGCACCATCAACAGAGCTGGCTTCTTCCTTCTTTATGGACCAAAGTACATTCTAAACTAACTCCCTGAATGTCACTCAAGGACTGATACTGATTGGATCTCATTCATGGAAGCACATGTAACATCACACAGTACTGAAATAAGATACCACTGGTTAGTCTGTTAATCCACAGCCAATTTGTGGTTGTGGGTTTTGTTGTTGTTAGGGTTTGTTTTGTTTTTCTCAAATACATCGTAGCACATTGTAAAGCACTACCGTTTTCAAGTTCTTTTTCCAGAATTTGTCGTGAGTCACAATTGTCACTTTTGCAGGTCATCCACCGCAATCATAAGAAGAGAAAAAATGCAGGTATTGTATTTGGCATTCATTGGCATGTGTGATGTATGTATATTCTGCATATGTACTAGTTCTTTCTGACAGCTCCAGGGAATTTCTCAGTAGGTGTTAGTGGACTAATAGGAAGATTTTGGTGTCATCACCATCTTATGAGTGTCTTTAGTGGCTATATATGTGTGTGTTCATATGACATTCTGGTCATTAACCATGAGTCAACAGTATGCTGTGAAGGCTAACCACATAACTGCATTAGTAAAACTGTGGACAGCAGGTTGAGGAAAATGATTGTTCCTTACTATTTAGTTCTGTGTGATAGTTTCTGGAAATCTATGTCCTATTTGAGGCACTGTGGTACAAGAAAAATATTGACATATGGCAGGGCTATATTTTGGTATGATATGCATCTTACCAATGCATATCGGGAATGTTACCAATGTATACAAGTACCTGAAGGGAAAGTGCAAAAATAATGGAACCAGGCTCTTTCCAGTGCTAGCCAGTGACAGGACAAGTGGCAATGGGCACCCATGGAAACACATGAGAGTCCCTCTGAACATTACTAATCATTATTTTTGCTGTGAGTATGACTGAGTGCTGATACAGGATATTCAGAGAGGTTGCAGTGTCTCCAGTCTTGCAGGTATTCAAACGTTATCTGGAGGTAGTCCTGGGCAACCAGCTCTAGGTGGCCTTGCGTCATGGTTTAAGGCCAGCTGGCAACCCAGAAACAGCCACTCACTCATTCCCCACCCCTTCCTCTGCTGCCCTCCCGAAGGGATGGGGAGGAGAATCGAAAGAATGTAATTCTCACAGGTTGAGATAAGAACAGTCCGGTAACTAAGGTATAACACAAATAACTGCTGCTGCCACCAATAATAATAATGCTAAGGGAAAGAACAATGGAAGAGAATACAACAGCTCACCACCCGCCAACTGATATCCAGTCCAACCCAAACAGAGATTTAGCCCTTCTGTGTAGTTGCCCCCAGTTTATATACTGGGCATGACATGCTATGGTATGGAATACCTCTTTGGCTAGCTTGGGTCAGGTGTCCTGTCTCTGCTTCCTCCCGGCTTCCCCTCCTCCCTGGCAGAGCATGAGCCTCAGAGTTCTTGGTCAGAGTAAACATTACTGAGCAACAACTAGAAACATCGGTGTTATCAGCGCTGTTCCCAGGCTGAAAGTCAAAACCACAGCACTGCACCAGCTACCAAGAAGGAGAAAAATGACTGCTACTGCTGAACCCAGGACACCCTGCTTGAGCAGAAGTGTTGAATCAGGTGATCTTCAGAAGTCACTTGCAACCTCAGCCATGCTGTGATTCTGTGACATGCAGGAGCAAATCCAGTAAAGAACCAGAAAGATGATTAAAGAAGCATATGTTCTAGAAGGCTATCAATAAGATCATAGGGAGGGTGGGAAACAGTGGAACAGGGGCTTAGACCAATTAAGAAATCTCCATCCTTAATATTTGACATTATATATAATTTTGCTTTGTGTAAAAAAAAGTTTCCAATTGCCACTTGGAAATTGCCACTAAATTTCAATTTCAGTGAATGCTCCCTTATTCTTGTACTGAGAACATGTTATTTGTTATTGTGATTTTTTTCTTGTGTCCCCATTTGCTTGCTTTCTGTCTAAGGCAAACAGAGGAGAGCCTTTCAGTGTGCTTCTACTAATTTTTATTTCAGTTTATTCTTCTATCCCTTTTTTGATAGTGGCACTTAAAATTGTGCAGTGTTGCAGATGACAAGTGGTCTATTAAATTAACTGAATTACAATGCATAGACATATATTAATGTATTTCTGTTCTGTTACCATTATGTTTTGTGCATAGCCCAGTAACTGCTTACTCTTTCTACCACCACCTCTTCATGAGTAATGGTCTTTTTGATCTATGTACAGTGTTTGTTGAGTCTTTGTCTGAGATACAGTCAGTTTAGGACCCAGGACAGTGAGCAGTTCCAGTGATTTCCTTTAAAGTGTGCTAAAGAAATTTGCCAGCATTTGGTTCCATCTGCCATCATATTTTCTATTCACTCAACTTGCTTAAGGCCTCCAAAGTTTTTCACAGTTTCTCTGGTCTTGATCAACTTAAATAATTTTGGAATGTCAGCAGAACACTTTCCAGATAGTTGATAAACAACAGATGCCCAAGGATGGAACCTTGTGGCACACCATGAATAACCTCATGCCATAGCAACCATTTTTCTTTCTTTTTGTTTCTTATTACTTCACCATTTTTGATCTGTGCAAATGCTTTGTCTCCTCCTCTTTGCTTACTTGGCTTCTTCAGTTACTCTTTATAAAGTGTTTGGACAAAGGAATTTTGAGACATCCCTAAATCATATCAGCCTTCACTGTTATCTACTATACTACTGACTGTCTCAAAGAATTTTAACAGATTAGCTCCTTTCAGACCTTATAGTGTATAGATCCCATTATGTTCTAAGTATTTTATAGTCACCAGTGCAAATAATTTACCTGCTATTGAATGGAAACTATTGGTCTGCAATTCACAGGATGACTGCATCTACTTTTACATAACTGCTTGTGCAAATACTGACCATCCTTCAGCCCTCAAGTATGACAGTGATTCTGCTCTCCCATTCGGGAAAGTGACATGTTGTTTGTATAAATGTACTGTCTTTCAGTACTGTACGTTCATATAAGCACACAGTACTACCACATTTAGTGCAATGAACACAGCAGACCACTGAGACATAAGGTTATGATGCTGTAATTGCGTGTGTTGTTACTAAACTTTTACTCTTTCCATTTGAATCTCAGTCTCCTCCCTTTCCTTCCATATTATCTTCATAACAACTTTAGACTCTTGCAAACTACCTGTACAAATGATAACAAGTCTTAAGTTATTCAAGGTAAGATTTTATACATACAAATTTGCAGCTGAGTCCAATACATTCATACACTTTGTTTTCCGAAATTCTTAACCCCAGACAAATCTGTCTGACCCGTTTCCTATTCTCTGTTCTTTCTGAGGTCCACATTTCCTGCTTGTCTCTTTCAGCTTGTTAGTGTTAGATTCTCTAGCATTGATAATGTAATGTCTAGTCTATCTTAAGTACAGGGACTAATCTGGCTCTAAGAGAGCTTGATATACTGTATACCAACCAGGCTGTACTGACTTCAGTGCTGTTAGATTAGTTAGTCTATAGCACCAGATGGCCTTCTGTCTTTTTGGCACTCTCACAAAATGGCCAGTCTTACTCTGCTGCTCCAGGAATGGTATTTGCACATGGAGAATGATGACTGCACTCAGAAACCTTTTCTTTTCTGCAAGGTCGGTTTGCATTTAGAACAGTGTCCTGGATGCTCAGGTAACGCACACTGATCCAATCTGCCTTTTTCAGATCAAGCAAGTATTCATCAGTATTAAGTGAAAGAATCTAACTTGACTTTTCTATTGCATCTGGAAATGAGGTTGTGATGTTTCCTATTCTGGGCACACCCCTAGATATACTGGAGTTCAGAATGAGCAAAGATGTCAGGAGCGTGCAGTAAGCAAAACAAGGTAGTAAAACTGGGAATACTTTGTTGCAGACATCTTGGGATTGGTCACCTTTGCTGTAAGCAGTTAGCACAAGTTACAGCTGCGTTAAGCCTCTCTATTCCAAAGAAAAAAGTTAACTTCACTTTGAAGAAGACACAGCAATTATATATACATAATAATTATGGGCAGTAATGGTGGCATGTTCCACCTACATCTCTCTAAGCACAACAACATATTCTTTTGCAAATTCTTGACATTTCTCCCTGTTCACCACACTAGGGAGAGATGATCTCCAGCAAGGAAGATAAACGGACTAAATAGGTGGAGATACAAGTCATGGCAAGGAATTTGTAAAAATGTAGAAGTCAGACTGCAAACTTTAGTTTTCCCAGGAGGCAAGATCCTGAACTCTTGCACCTTGCCTCCTCAATGACCCTTACCTCAGCAGTCCTTTTTCCAAAATGACCTCACACTCGTCTGGTCACCTTCTGCCGAACCAAAGTGAGAAAACAAGATGGCATTAGATCTATTAACACATTAGCTCAAGTGAAATGGAGAGATGAGGAGTCAAGGCCTTGTCATGTTCTGTGTTGAGCTGATGCAACAAGGTCTGCTGGGGCCCTACTGGAGCAGTACTTGGCTAGGAGCAGTTTATTGTCCCTACTTTTATGCACTGCAGCTAATATGGATCATTTTGTGCCTCCCACAGTATATGACAAGACAAATGACTTGCAGTGAGCTTCTCCTGTACAAGTGGTCAACACACATTTCATTACAGAGCCAGCAACAGGTATATCAAAAGTGAAGACCTGGTACTTCATTAATTCACTTTCCTTCATGCTTTTTCCATCTGTTCTTTTTTCAGTATTTAGTTAAATATTTAGTCAAAGAAATCTCATTGCTGACTTTGACTGGCAAAGGATTCTTGATTTGCTTGCGCAGTATATTAGCATGTGGCTCACCTTCATCTAAGTGTACAGTGTGTTAGTGGTTGACTGGTTGACTCTACTTGTAAGCTTCCCCTCTCCATTTCTGAAAGATCTTGAGGAGTTTATGCCAAAAAAGGCTTTCCTATCCTATCTTATAAGTTTCCCTCTTTAAGCTTTTGAGGAAAAAGACTTTAAAAGAAAATCACATTTTTAGAAGCATATGCTTTTCATATCATACAGGAAGCAGTGGTTCATTTCTCAGTTATTTGAGATAACTCAAATGCTTTTGGAAGCAAAACCCTTAATCCTGAGGACTGTC